AAATAACAACCCCTCCATTATGTTTCCATACACAACATCTATCACAATTGCAAACAGAAACGGTGATAACACTGATCCTTGATGCACTCCTACCTTAACACTAAAAGCGTCCGACATCCCCCTTCCAACCCTCACCTTTGTCTTTGTCACAGCTTTAACAAGTCTCTCATTCACTCCTTTCTTCCTCAACGCCCATTCAATGACCTTCCTCGCGTACTCGATCAAAAGCCTTTTCTAGATCCACAAAACACCTGTACAATCTTCGTTTCTTCTTTCTATAATTCTCCTGCAACATTCTCACCATGAACAACGCATCCACCATTCCCCTACCAGGCATAAACCCACACTGCATACACACACTCACACGCACACACATATGTGACATATACACACATATCTGACATATACACACATATCTGACATATACACACATACAAACACACTTGCATGTACATTCACACACACACACACACAACATTAATAACATTTATATAAATTATAAAAACGATGTTAACGTCAGCAAACAAACAAAAAACATACAAACAAACAAACAGACAAACGAACGAACGAACAAACATACAAACAAACGAACGAACGAGCAAACATACAAACAAACAAACAACAATAAAATTAAGATAATAATTTTATTACTTAACTCCTACTCTCTGTTCATCGTCTCGTCATGCAGTCAAATGAATTGAAAAAATTAATTGGCATCATTCGTAACAGTAGAATAGTAATTGTGTGAATGTCTGCCCGTGTTTGCCGATGGTATTTCATTTTATAATAAAGTCGAAAATAATGATGACGACGACGACGATGATAAGGATGAAGAAGAAGTTGTCGATGTCAACGGAAAATGATAAGATAGAAAAATTATTAAAATAAATTGAATTTTTATCAACAATTATTTTTCTTCGACTCGGGAGGAAAAAATTATTAACAATAAAAAACTGTAATAATAATAATAAAATTATTATTATTATTATTATTATTATTTTTAGGTGTATTTTTGTATGTATCTGCGTGTATGTGTGTACATGTGTGTGTGTGTGTGCATGTCTGTGTGTCTGTTAGTGTATGTGTCTACATATGTATGTATGTACGTGTGTGTATGGGTTTTTAAATATCCGGATGTGTGTGTCTATATGCCTCTGTGTTGGAATGTGTGTATTTCTGTATGTGTTTGTGTGCGTGTTAAAGGTAAGTGTGTGTGTATGTGTGTGAGAGAGTTTATGCGTGTGTACGCCAACGAGTATGTGTATATTTGTATGTGTGTATTTTAAATGTGTATGGATGTGTGTGTGTTGGTAAGTATGCGTGTGTGTGTGTGCGTGTGTGTTGCGTATCTGGGTATGTGTGTATGTATGTGTGTGTTTGTGTATCTGGGTATGTGTGTGTTTGTGTGTGTGGTGTGAGCTTGATTCCATGATTTGGAAACGTGTCACGTACTGAATATAACTAATGTAACGGCAAGTTCTAATGATGCGATCTTAATAAGTGTGTTAAGTGAAATTAATTAAACCATTACACTCAAGTACATTAATTTTTACGGTTTTTATCTAAATTGTAGTAGTAGTAGTTGTTGTTGTTGTTGTAGTAGTAGTTGTTATAGTAGTAGTAGTAGTAGTAGTAGTAATAGCTGTAGTAGTAGTAGTAGCAGTAGTAGTAGTAGTAGTAATAGTAGTAGTAGTAGTAGTAGTAGTAGTAGTAGTAGTAGTAGTGATGGTGGTATTTTTTGTTATTTGTTATTTTTTAAACTGAAATACCTAAACAATATTTCCTGCCAAATTAATCATTCCTCTTAACTTGCACCCACGCATTAAAACACGAAGCCATGAACGATTGAAAGAACGAGTAAACGAATGAAAGAGTGGATAAAGGATGAATGAACGAATGAATTAATAAAAGAGTGAAAGAATGAAAAGGTGGAAATGAAAGGTTGATGAAAAATGAATGATTGAATAAAAAAAAAAAGAATTTATTCGACGTTATCGAATGTCAAATGCGAGTTCTTTAAATAGAACTAATTGAAACCCGCGTTTAACAGGGATGAAAAATTAAACGTCCATAAATTAAATAGATTCATTCATTCATTCATTCATTCATTCATTCATTCATTCATTCATTCATTCATTTATTCTTTTTTTTAATTCACATAATCATTGATATTTGTATCAATTTTTCATTTATTGGCTGGTATGTTCATTCATGCTCCTTCTCTTTATCCAACCAACTATCAATCCATCCATCCATCCATCAATCAATTAATCAAATTCTTCATTAGTCAATCAATCAACCCATCTATTTATACATCCATCAGTCCCTTTGTCATTCCATCCACTCATATATCCACCCCTTCATTCATTCATCCATCCATCAATACATAATTTTTTTATCCATTCATTCATTCATTCATCCATCCATCAATACATAATTTTTTTATCCATTCATTCATTCATTCATCCATCTATTCATCTATCAATCTTTTTATCAGTCTAGTCTTTTATTTTTCCATCCATTCATCGTTTACACAATAACACGCAGTTACACATGTAACAATACGCATACATACCGCTTGAATAGGCTAACAAACACTACACACACACACACGCACACACACACACACACACACACATATATATATATATATAACAGTATGTATATGTATATAACATGTATATGTACATATATATGCAGTATATAAATGATGAAATTTAAAAGGAATGAAGGAATGATTGAATGATCGATGATGATATCAAACAGAGCTCATGTTGGGTCGGATTGGAAAATATTGTAGTATTAATAATTATGCTTTTGGATTATTGTTAAATGTTTTTTGTGTGGTTTTGAGGGAGCTTGTTCTGATTTAGAGGTTCATTTTAATTAATTAATTTATTAATTAATCAACTAATTTACATGTTTATTCATTCATTTTTCTAGTCATTATTACTTTTATCTATTAAATTAATATTATTAATTATCACATAATTTTTCTTGAGAAGTTGCATGTTTTATGATTGGCCAGATTTTTGCTGGTTATTTTTGTTATCACCAATGAGATGTATTAATATTATAAATATTATTATTATTATCATAAATATTATTATTATTTTCATCTATTTCATTAAAGGACAAACTTATTAACTCGGTTATTAAATCGTCGTATGCCATTTCTTGCGATAGATACACTGTATAAACCTAATGCAACATAATGTGTAAACTACATCGAACAATCAGCCTGATGAGTCATCTTAACAAAACTTCTCTTGTGAATTCTGATGATGAGAGAGAGTACCAAGCAAAACCAGATCTGAAATGATCTTCAAATAACCAATGTGGTTTTGTAGAGGATTGTGGCACTAGAAACGCTATCTCCATGCTACGAATGATCAGTGAACGAGCGATTGAATGGCAGAAAGACTCCTTTATATATGTTTTGTCGACTACTCCAAAGCTTTTGATAGCGTGAAACACGAGGAGCTTATGAAAATATTGAAAAATTAGGACATAGATGGCGAAGACACAAGAGTTATCAAAAACCTCTATTGGGACCAAAGAGCAGCGATGAAAGTTGGTAACAAAATGACTAGTTGTGTCGAAATTAGGAAAAGTGTTAGGCAAGGCTGTGTATTCTCCCCAGACCTGTACAATCTCTATAGTGAGATCATCATGAGAAAGATAGAAGATCTACCTGGAATATCCATTGGAGGCGTGAATATAAACAATATAAGATATGCCGATGATACAGCTCTTATAGCAGATTCAATGGAAAACTGCAAACAATTGTTTCCAAATTGGTTTTTGAAAGTGAAAGGAAAGGCTTGCTAATGTACATTTAATTCAATTTTAAATATTATTTCATTTCATTCATTGATTTAATAATTTGCTTTGGTTGTAATGAAAGAGTTTTTATTATTATTCCTAGCCATTTTTGTAGCAACTACATTTTTAACTTGTACTTTTAAAATTAATTTTTAGCAGAAAAATATTTTTGGTAAGAACAACAAAATCAATCACACTGACACCTACCACACACGCACACACAAACACACACACACGCACACATACTCACACACACCCCTACACACACGTGCACATGCACAAACACACACATTTGTATACACAACACACATACATACAATCAAACACACACACATGCATACGAAGATATGCTTAATAATTTATCGCAAACACATGTGAATGTTTACGATATCGTAAATACAACACACATACAGATACACACACACACAGACAAACACATATATAACACATATGGTTTACACACACGCACACAACACACACACAACACACATACGTATACACATAATTTATGAAATACACGACACACAACAACGGGTATTATGTATACGTCGCGCTTGTACGAAAATACCGCGACTTCTACTAATTCTTTAAATACCTGTTGCAAATTTGTCAGTTTAGTAATTTTTTACTATTTTTTTCAACTAAAATTTAATAAGTTTAAAAAGTAATTAATAATAATATTAAAAGTATTAAAAACATTAATGAAATTTAATAGATAATTGAATTTGGGCCTTTGTATTGTATAGCATTGAAATTGCAATCGCATTCTTTTTGTATCAATATATATATGTGATGTGTGTGAGTGTGTGTGTGTGTGTGTGTGTAGAATTAATTTAAAAAGTAAAGTTGAATATTCTAATATCCTATTGCTATAATATTATTAAGCATTAACAAGTGTACAACAACATATTACAGATATTATTATTAAACAACAGTGCCAATCACATCAAATACGAATCACATCAATATCATCAACAACAACATCGACATCGTAAACAACAACGTGGTTATATAAAACAACAACAATAACATTGAGCTCGCTGACATTACATTATATCACAACAACAACACAACAAATTGTCAACAACAGCAACAATAATAATGATAACATTAACCATAACATCAACAATTGCAGTATTAAAACCAAATACATCCACAACAAAACCCGGTCACTATCATCGCTATCTTCACCAAAAACATCAATAAAAGACATCAACTGAACTAAAAACGTAGACATCATTATCATCAACAACAACAGCAGCTGCTGCAGCAACGACAACAGCAGCAACGACAACAACAGCAACAACGACAACAACAACAGCAACAACGACAACAACAGCACAACAACAACAACGAATTATAAAGTAAAAATGACGACGACGTTTAAAAAACTCAAATCACCCTCTCCATTGCTAACTACTCTATCTATCATCTACATACTAACAACAGGTATGCATTTTTTCTTTCATTTTTTCTGACTTCATCATCACGTTTACATTGCTATTTTTATAATTATTCAAAATAAAATTAAAAAAACAAAATGTTTAATATTTTAAAATAATTTCATATCTATAAAATTGTATATTTCTTTATATTTATAAAAATCTGTTTTATAATTTTTCAGCCACTGCCGAACTGACGGTTAAGTTTTTTTTTGTGTTTTCAATTTTTAAGTTCATTCATAATTATGTAATAATTTCAAGTAATTGATCAATCAATTAATTAAATGAATTAGTCGATTACGCTAATGTTATTTGATTGTTGATTTTTTAATTGTTTCAGTCAGTGGATTCAATTTCGGCTTATTAATTTGTAAATTATGTATATTATATTACATCGTTGTTTTGCCCTGAAACAAATTTTAAAAATTTTCATAGTTTAACCTCGTCAGGTTACTTAATTGGTTATTGAATTAAGAAAAAAATTAATAATAATAACATAATAATAATGATAATAACAAAGTTTAAAGTGGTTCAGTAGACTGGCATCAGTGTAAGAACCACTACAAAAAATGTCCAAGTCTCCTGGCTCTCTCCTAGCTTGATTTTAAAGTAGTTTGATTGAATCCACTGACTGAAATCATTCGTTTAATTAATTGATCAATTACTTGAAATAATTACATAGTTAATAATTGTTCGAATGATTAAAATGATAAATTATCTCAAAAAGGACGACGATATTATTACATTGACGGTCGATGATCTAGAGGTTAGTTATCTCATCTAAATTATCAATAAATAATTATAATTATAATTAAAATAATCTTCTAATTTGAAAAATTTGAAGCGCTCCGATTACCAAAACGATCTTAATGCTAAAAAGAAAAACATAAACACACACAATCCCTCAGAGAGAGAAAGAGAGAGAGAGAGAGAAAAGAGAGAAAAGAGAGAGGCACCTACACACACACACGCACACAAATACACACAAACACAAACATACAAATACACACACAACGTTTTTTGTATAAAAATAATGCGGTTTTTCATAAAAAGTTAGCTAGCATGACGAGTATGAAGAGGTGCACGGTTTTGAGAGGGTTGATCCAGCATGAGAAGTCACTGCGCGTTAATATCAGAAGAGACTCTGAATCAGATCATTCTCTAACCACATCTCGATTTAGAGGTTATGATATTGATGATGATGATTGAGATGATGATGGTGATGATTATGATGACGGTGGTGGTGATAATGATGATGATCTTGGTGGTGATGATGATGATGACGGTAATGATGTAATGATGATGATTGACGTTGATCAATCAATCAATCAGACAATCAACCTTCCATGTAATTTTAAAACAACCAGATTATCGTAAGAAACGAGACGATGGCAGAGCTAGAAATTTAAAATGCCGGCCACAAAGGCTTATCAACCACACAGCTTTCAGCATTTCTTATAAAGGTTCTATTATTTTAAACAACAATAATAATAATATTGATAATAATAATAATAATGTTAATTGGTATTGTTAAATATTTTTATTATTTGTAGTTTTTTTTTATTATTATTTTCATCTTTCATAACGCAATCCATCAAGGGATTAAATCCATTTATATATACCAGCTTATTAATAACCGTATTTAAAATTAGAATGAATGCGTGTGTGTGTGTGCGTGCGTGTGTTGTGTGCGTGATTCAATATTTCATTTTATTATTGGAGAGAATAACTTTTCTTCGATTAGCTGGTTTGATTGTTCGTCCCTTCGCTCACTCACTCACTCATTCATCCATTCGTTCGTTCATTCGTTCGTTCGTTCATTCATTCACTCATTCATTTTTAGGGATGGAAGCTGGAATATTTGTGAAGAGTCTATTGGAGTTACTGGTGATATTGACGATGATGGCCACGACGATGATGATGATGATGTTAATGATAACGACGATGACGATGATGATGATGATGGTTAGAGATAACATTGATTTCGAACCCGGTTACAGCAGCAGAATGACCAGATACCTTGACCATTTTGTCATGGCATTTATTATTACCATATTAATTTGCGTTCTACAGAAAAAACCTAGGGAATACTTAGACGTCTTCAAAGGTTTTACAAAATTAAATGCCAGCAACTCGTGGATTCCTGCTTATGCAAAAGGTATCATTACCATCATTACCATCGTCATCGTCATCATCACTGTCGTCATCATCGTCGTCATCATCATCATCATCATCGTCATCGTCGTAGTTTTAATTATTCAAATTGTTTTAAATCATTTATAATTTTTTTTTACATTTGCAGAGTTTGGACACGCCGCATTCGTAAGAATCTCTTTTTTATTTCAACTCAAAATAAGAATTTTAAAGTTTTATTATTTTTATTCATTATTTAACTCAGTCGTTTTCTCAGTTTAATACTAACTAATTAAATAGTTACTTGAAGGTCAAAAAGGTTAAATGTCAATCTCTCTCTTGTGCACCTGCTTCAGAGGTCTCAACGACAAACACACACGGCTTGAAAACAACGCTTGACACACATTGCATATGATAGGAGAGGATCTTTTGGCATTCGAAACCAGTCACTGCAACAGCAAGACCAGACGCCTTTAAACATTGAGCCATCACGGCGCCGTTAATTAGTTTATTTATTTATTTATTAATAAATAATTTTAATTATTTTTTATTCAAGGATAGATTTTTTACCGTTGAAGCAAATTACCAACAGCAGGTTAAATAAGATTTTTTTATAATTTATTATTATTATTATTAGTAGTAGTAGTAGTAGTAATAATGTAGTAGCAGTAGTAGTAGTAGTAGTAGTAGTAATAGTAGTAGTAGTAGTAGTAGTAGCAGTAATAGTAGTAGTATGAATAATAGTAACAATGTAGTAGTAGTAATAATGTAGTAGCAGTAGTAGTAGTAGTAGTAGTAGTAATAGTAGTAGTAGTAGTAGTAGTAGCAGTAATAGTAGTAGTATGAATAATAGTAACAATGTAGTAATAGTAGTAATAGTAGCAGTAATAGTGGTATCAGTAGTAGTAGTAGTAACCATAGCAGTATCAATCAACAACAGCGGTAGCAGTAGTATGAATTTCATTATTATTTTCATTCTAAATAACAACAACAATAATAATAACAAATATAATTACACTTACACACACGCGCGCACGCACGCACACACGCACACACACGTATATATGAAAACATTATTATTGATAATTTTTGTCAAAGGAATTTCAAGATGATAAGGACACGTGCGATGTTATGACCGATAAGATTCTGCTAGAACTGCCCGGTTCAGGTATAATCATGATAAGGATCATATAATAGTATCATGATATTATGATGACTAAATTATAATATCCTAATAGCAAAATGATTAAACTATGATATTGGATTGGTAAAGTGATTGAGTTGTGATAGTAACGTGATGAAATTATGGTGTTGGGATGATATATATATATATACATATATATGATAAAAATGTGAAAGCATTTGGTCACCAATCGATCAGTCCTTCAAATCAAACACATATAATATTCTTTGATCTCAAATTAATAACAATAATCATAATAATAAGAAGAAGAAGAAGAAAGGACAATAATTAATAATATTGATGATGATAATTCGCTTTGTTGATAATTTGTATTAATAAATTAACTCAATTTCATGTACAGGTATAAAGCTGTCCTGCACATTTGCCATTCACGGCAATTTTTTGGTTTTCTTAATTCTGGTTGACGTTGGTTCGTTTTTTTTGTCTGTTTTTTTGCCTGCTTGTTTGATTCTAGTGCGTTTTTAATGTTTAAAATCGCCCGTTCGCTTATTCGTTCATTCATTCGTTCGTTCGTTCGTTCGTTCATTCACTTATTAACTCATTCATTTATCCATTCTTTAATGGTTCAGATAGCAAAAGTACCATGTCAGCTGGAGAAATAGTGGAAATATTGAACGAGGAGGTGGTGATGATGATGGTGATAATGGTGATGAGGATGATGATGATGGTGATAATGGTGATGATGATGATGATGATGATGGTGGTGATAATGGTGATGATGATGATGATGATGATGGTGATAATGGTGATGATGACGACAAAGTCGATGATGATGATGGTGACGATGAAGAAATGATGATGACGTAAAGATTGACGTAGATGAAATTTTAAGGGTGAATAAGTTACTCACATTCAGTTACCTACCTTTATCTTTTTCTTCACCTATTTTCAACATCATAAGTCGCATAAAAGAGATTGAAAGGCTGCGTTTTGCGCTGGCTTTGTTGCGGTATTCACTGGGTTCGAATGCTGCCTGCACGGTTATATAAAAATATTAGGATGAACATTATTATATAAACACTTTATAAAAATAATACTACTGCTATTTTTTACACTACTGCTACTGTTTCAACTACTACTACTACTTCTACTACCAACTACTACTACTACTACTACTAATAATAATAATAATAATAATAATAATAATAACAGCAATTCACAATCGACAGGATAATAATTTTGAAAAAATTGTCGAGCAAGTTTACCTTGGATATCCACGGTTTGCATCTTTTCCATCGGAAAAACTTGGCAAACTCTTTACAGGTAAATATTATCCGTGGTTAATGATAACAATGATAACAATATTGATGATTAATAAGAATATCAATATTAAATATAATTAATATATTTTTCACAAAATTACTGCCACAACAGCAGTCGCTACTGCTACAACAACCACTACTACTACTACAACCACTACTACTACAACCACTACTACTACTACAACCACTACT